GAATAAGCTCTGGTGTCAGCTGCCTGTTTCCTCCCTGGCAGTTCCGCTGTCCTTCAGACCACCCAGCCTGCTCCAGCTCCCGTCTGCCCTGCCTCCAACACTTTCCCAGTGAAAACGTAGCTCACCTCCTTTCCCTTAGCCACCAAAGAAGAGTGATTTCTCTACCCGTTTCTGCTGTGCTTTTTGCCGTTACGTTCAAAACATAGAGACTCAGCACATCACAAAAAATTGAATCGCAAAAACTGAGCAAAGATTTAAAGGGAAGCAAGTGTGTTATCGGGAGGAGGAACTGTCATGGACAGTTGTCTTTCAGACAGTGAACTTTAAACTGGTTGCATTAGTCTGTGCTTTGTTTCTGGCACCTGGTCTTTTGGGTTTTTATTGTGACTTAACGGTGGCCAGGGAATAGTTTCTTCAAAGTAGGGATGGAGTTATGTTTGTCCTTGTAATCTCACTTAGCCCCCGGTTGGTGATTGCAGGAGTAGTGATTGGTTTTGGATGTACTAGGATGAAATACATACATACGTACATACATACATACATACATACATACATACATACATACATTCATATATACATATTCCAAAAGAAAAGGGAAAGATGGTGTTAACATCTCTTGGTAGTTGTCTCCCTGGTATATTTCCACATTTGTTCAGTGTATGGGCCAGAGTCCACAGTCTCACCTTTCTGTGCCAAAAGGCAGAAGCAGGATCCCAGCCCTGGCCACAGGAGCTGCTGTCCTTGGGGGGCTGGGGGAGGTGAGGGACAGGACAGCAGTCAGGTTTGTTGACCAAGCCATTCTCCACTCTAGAGCCACCCATTCTGTCTTCACATGCGTCCTGGCTCCAGTCAAAATCAGAGCCTCCTTATGTCTCTAGTAGGACGTTGCTGTTGCTTGCGGAAGTGGGCAGGAAGGCACACTTGTGATGCCCAGAAGGGTGGCTGCGCCTGTCCATCTGCTTCCGAGGGACCCCTGCCCTCCGCCTCCCGCTCTGCTCCCCCACGCACGCGGCGGCGGCGGCGGAGTTTCTGAGTAGACTGCATTTACAGACATCTCAGTGGCCACTCAGCCAGACCGTCTGCGCTGCTCATGCTGCAGTCCCTGTGTGGGACTCTGCTCAAGCAGCTGTGTCTGGGTCGCTGCGCAGGATGCCAGCATTTCCCCAGCTGTTCCTGTGAGGACGGTCGGTGGTGTGTTCCCGAGGCAGGCTGCAAACTTTGCTTCTCCGTCATCAGAGCTTCTGCTTGAAGCACTCTCCTCAGCTAGGAACCGCTCCCTGACTCTTGTCGGGCAGGGTTACAGGTCCTCTGCTTGTAGAGAGAGCAGTCTCACAAAATCTGAGTCTCGAGCATTCAGAGCAGTGACAACAGAGCAGCATCTGGAGCTCAACGGATGCCTTAATAGACTGGTGAGGCAGCTAGCGTCTCGGCAGAGGAAGCTAAGGAGGAAGGCTTTACAGCCGCTGTTGGTAAATCACTGAGCCTCCAGAATCCCACCAGGAGAGAATTGACTGCATTTCAGAAAGATCACGGAGGACAGCCCCATGTGTGAGTAATCTCCCAGTGGGAAGAGCTAGTTATCCCAACTATGTGCTCGCTAACCAGGGCTCTGGTGGCCTAATCTTGGTGGGCTCTGCACATTGCCTGGCTAGGACTTTTCTTTGAAGGGCTCATTTAGAATAGTGCATTGGGAGGAGATTCAATGTGATGGCTTTCAGATAGTGACCGGCATCGGGAGAGTTGTTGTAAATCTGCAATAAAGCCGCAAAATCAAACCGCACAGACCCTTTGCTGTATGAAGCAAAAGAAAAACAACTACTGCCTCACAGGTGAAGCATCTGTGGAATTCTCTGACTGGCGATGAGAGACAAAAGGCATTGCAGACTAGGGACGACACATGCAGAAGGGGTAGGGCAGGAAGAGAGGAGGCGGTGGGTCTCTGGGGTCCAGACCCACCTGCAAGTGTTGTGTCTTTGTGTACTGACTGTGCACCTGCTTCCTGCCTGATGCAAGTTTGCCTTTAAGCCACTCCCTTCGGAGCCCTGTGAAAATAAATACCGTGACAGAGGCTGTGATTGACAGGTGTGAGCAGGCAGACTGTTCACTTCCAGCAGCAAGGCTGTCTTGAATGGTGACTAGCAAATGGAAGGGGAGGCTCGGATTTACTGAGAGGCCAAAGCTATGACAGCCAGGCCAGCAGTGAAGACTAACTCAGCCTGCACACTGGTCACACCCTTACATTTCTCCATCCGTCCCTGTCCCTGCCTGCCTCCGTCTGGCTTAGTTTGCTGGTTCCCAGACAGGGAGCAGAGCATCCTCTCACTCCGAGTGAGGTCGTGAGGGGAAACAGGAAGCAGAGCAGACTCAGCATCTCCGATTCCCGTGCACCACGCTTTGTGTAAAGCATCTGCTGGTGTGGGTCCTCACAGGGACATGCCCCCTGCACTGAAACTGAGGATGACTTAGAGGTGTCCAAGTGCAAGGGGGTGGTGTTAGCTGCAGAAAGGAACTGATCACCTGGGGCGGTGTTGCTGCTGCTGATCTTACAGGCAGTTTTCTGTGCCAGCATGCTGGGGTGATGGGGCATATCCGAGATCTGCTGTGAGTGACCACTGTCTTGCAGGTGGGTGGGTGGTTTCATGGGGAGGGGGTAAAGATGTGTGTAGCTGCAACAGAAAAGCAAAGAATGAAATGGCATTGCTAGTTGACCAATTTTCTCACCAATGGGATGTTGTTATGTTTAAGACAAAATAGTGTTGGTGGCTGGACTTGCAGAGGGCTATTTGCCCAGTGATTATCTAAGCAAAGCTATCTCATGAGAACTTCTGGCTTTGGTGTCATTGTCTGAGGGGCGTCATCTGTTGCATGAGACGGTGGCTGGGATGGAAGTGACAATCAATTAGCAGCCGAGTACACAGAGATAGCAAATGGGCAGATGAAGGGAAGGATGTGCAAAGGGAAAGAAAGGACTTGCAGGAGGGAGGGAGACCTTTTGGGAACTGATGGCTAATGCCATGAATTCCCCTGTATTTGGCACAGAGTGATTTTTCAGTATTTGAGCTGAAGGAGAAACAAATCAATGTGTGTGAATGGAACACAGCCCACCTGCAGAAGAAGAAAACAGTAAACCCTGTGTTGATAACAAGCCTCCCGCAGATGACTCGTGTGTGTGTGTGTGTGTGTGTGTGTGTGTGTGTGTGTGTGTGTGTGTGTGTGTGTGTGTGTGTAGGCAGGAGATAAAGCCCCAAATGTAGTCATGTGGCTCTGGGCCCTTGCAAAGGCATTTCTTTCTAGCTGTTCCTCTCACTGCTCTGAGACTTAGCTCTGCTCTTTCGCTGGGCAGGGAATGTAACTTTGTGGGAGCACACTAGCCTGCCATGTGACAGGCCCTGGGCTCGATGCCCAGCACAGGAAGGCAAATGCACATCTCAGGGCTGACAACCCAGGGCAGCATCCTCCCCAGACTCGTACTTCCGGTGACCTGGTGAGTGAGAGCGGGGCTTGCCAGGTTCCTGTCTCTCATTATCTTCTGCCCATATCTGGGGCAACAGACGGAGAACAATATGAAATGTGATAATAAAGAGATTGGGGGAAGGTAAGAATTATCGTCCTAAAATTACAGTGTTTACATCTGGCTAGATTTCTTATAATGGAATAGCATCTTCACTCCCTGCTGCTGTGGGAGTAGAGTTGGTTGGTGTCTCTTCTGTATATGAGACTCTACCCCAGCCTCTCAGGGTAGTTGGCCACATGACCTGATATTGAAATGATCATCAAGTTTCTGGAAGCAACTATGAAAGATGCCTGTAGGTTCTTCAACATCAAGCCATGATGGAATGTTGGGTTGAAGAGTGGCCTTCGCTGCAGCATTTCCTTTTGGTGTGTATGATGTGTGTGTGGGGGGGCAGGTGTAGGGCACTGAGCCCAGGTCTTCAGGCTTTGTAGCAAGTGCCTATACCTGTTGAGCCATCGCCATGGCAATTGTAAACATATTTTAAAATCCAAAGGCGTCCTTCTTCCTCCTCCTGCCTCAGAATTAAAATCAGTACCCCTTGGTCTGTTCTAAAGATAGTCCAGGGCTACTTGTGAGGAGTCTGGAGTTCTGTTCATTTTATTCCTTTCATGAAAGGACAGGCTCAAGTTTACTGTAGTTATTGCCTCCAGACCACTGTGCACAGTCAGGCTTTGTCCTAAGTCGTTTGTGGCCATTTATTTTCCTCCCGTTTAGCCAGGAAGTGTGGGGTGTTCTTGGAGGAGGTGTTTCTAAACTGACAGCACTAGAGCTGGCTGCACCGACTGAGGAATCGTTTTCTTCCCAAAGTGCAGTGCTTCATCAGTTCGGGACTGGAGTCGGCCTGTGGTCTGTGCTCGGGCTTGGAGTGGGCCTGCGGTGTGTGCTCAGGACTCATCTGAGTTCTCTGCTCCAGAACCCAGAAGGCTGCGCTATTTTCAGAAAGTAAAGGATGAAGATCACGTGCACTGTGTGTGGGGTGGGTCTCCTCAAAGACACAGTGCCTACCAGGGTCGCCAAGTGCATGTTAGCCATGGTGGAGTCGTAGGAAGGTGGCCCACAAGGCTTGAGCATTCACTGTACACGTTGTTATGTAGATGACCAGGAAGTGTCCAGAGCATCATAGGAGGTCCTTCCTTTTTTTTAAAGTTAAAAACAATTAATTAAAATATAGTTACATCATTCTCCCCACCTTCCCTCCCTCCACCCCTGTGTTGTATCAGGCCTCTTTACCCAGGGTAAAAATGCAGCCTCCCAGTTCTGCCCATCTTGTGGAGAATGGTCCTGAGGAGGGAGGACGTGGAGAGATTGGCGCACACTGCTGCCTTTCCCTCCGAAATGCTGTGGAGGCTGGCTTTGGATGTCTCTTTAGCTGTCCTTCCCCTGTGCTGTACACCCAGAAGAATACCCTGAGGTCAGCAGAGGCGTGGTCTGACTGTCCTTGTGTGCTGAGAGGCACTGATGGCCGCTTTGTTTTGTGACCCCTTAGGACCTGAAGATGGAGTAGTAAAAAGGCATCCCCCATGATTCTGAGCACCTTTCCCTGTGGACTCCAGCCCTGGCCAGAGGCTGCCTGTGGAGCTGAAGGGACTGACCTACTGCTTTCTTGAGAACCCCTTCCTCTCCTAATTCATGAGCCAGCAGGATGCGGTCGCTGCGCTTTCAGAACGCCTGCTCATAGCTGCGTACAAAGGCCAAACAGAGAATGTGGTTCAGCTCATCAACAAGGGTGCCAAGGTAGCAGTTACCAAGGTAACGAGGAAAAATGCCGTAACTATTCTCTGGGAGTAGCTCACCCTTGTCTGCAGAACTGTTGTTTGGTTCATAGCTTTTAAAGAACTGGCTTTGGTAAAGAGATGGAGGCTTGGGAGAAACAAGAAGTCGTGAAAATGTTTTCATTGTCATCTTTCAAATGGAGCGTTTGTAATTTGCTTTACAGTCTTTCAAATCACATCTGACTTTTCCCTATCCACCTTTGTAGCCAGTCGACAGGATATCTCTTTGGAGACGTTCCTACACAGTCTGACTAAACAGTGAGCTGGTAATCGTGATGTTAGGCAGGCCTTTTGGCAAGGTGGACTAGCCTTTGGTCAGGAAGCCCCCCTCCCCCAGTCTCATTGTCCCCATCTGACAGATGACTGTCATTCCTACTATGGGCACTGCTTTCATGTGGGCTTTGCAAGACATTGCTCACCCACATCAGCAGACGATATAATGACAAATCGGGGAACATTTGGTTGAAGGCAGTTTTATAGCAAACCCCCAAGAAAGTAGGCCCTGGCTAGGTGTGGCTGTGCAGCGTTAGAGAAGGAGAGGACAGCCTGGCTGCATAGTCTCAAAAATAAACAACAAAAAACACAAATAAGCCAAACAAAATATGTCAGACCCTGCATATTTGAAGGTTACTGGAGCAAACTTATCCAGATGCTGTTGCTGTGAGTACCGAAAAGGTCCCAGACAGAGATTATTATCTTCTCACCCTCACTCTGGAGATAAGGGAGCTGAAGACATTCCTGCCCAGGCAGAAATGCACCTTATATCCATGGCGCCCCAGTCCGAAGCTCTCCTGCCCTCCATCCCAGAGAGAGCTGAGCGGATGCAGATATGGTCTCATGCTTTCACGAAACACAATTTTTTTAATACCTCTGACTTTCTGAACCAGATGTTGGTCAGTATGAGTCTCGGTCACTCGTGCATTTGAGCACACAGTGAGAAGTTGGCCTCCGGAAGTTAGAGAAAGAATTCACCAGGACCCATCCATGTTGGACTTCCTTTTGAGAAATAAATTTCTCTTATGGCAGCCTGAGCCCACAATACAACCATATTCTAATTTTAGAAAACGTCCATCGTCCAGTAAAAAACAACCATTCATTACCTCCCTATCCCCAGCTCTCGGTGACTAGGAATCTCTGGGATGCTGGTCCTAGGTTCTATAAGACAGCAGGCCAAGCAAGCCGTGTGAGCTAGCCAGTATGCAGCCTCTAGTTTCCTGTCCTGATTCCCTTCAGTAGTGTGTAGCAATATGGATGTGTAAGCCAAATAAACCCTTTCTTCCCCAAGTTGCTTTTGGGTCATGGTGTTTTGTCCCAGCAATAGAAACCCTAACTAGATATATGGCATATGGTCTCCTGTCATGATTTCATTCATGGAGCGCAGTATTATCAAGAGTTCTTCATGTTGCAGTAAATGATGCTTCATTCCTTTTTATGTCTGAACAACAATACATGGTAAGCACACAATACATAGTAGTTCCCTTATCTATATTACAGAACCCCCAGTGGATGCCTGACACTACCAAGTCCCATACATCCTATGTTGTTTCCTATATATAGATATTTATAATAGAGTTTAATATACATATTAGGCACAGTAAGGGAATGACCATAATCAATGACACACTCTCTCTCTATGTATAATATCAGTACATTAAGGTAAAGTGTCAGCATAATGTTGCTGTGCATTGGGACCACTGAACAGAATAGTGATACCTTCGACACATGCACTGTAACACCACCACGGTCCATCCAATGAGTGTGGGACTACAGGGTCCCCCTTGGGGGAATAGCATGGATACAGAGGACAAAGGGATCCGTGTCCCTGGTGGGATGGAGTGGGACAGCATGCGTGTTCATTGTGTCACCCAGAATTATGCAATTTCAGACTCCGAAATTCTTTATCTCTTGAAATTTCCATTTGCCGTTTCAGATTGTGATTGACAGTAGTTGTTATTCGGAGAGAGATGGTGGTAAAGGAGGATCGTTATACTGTCCTTTAGTCAGGGGACATTTCCTGCTGTTTCTAGTGTAGGACTATTATGAAAATGACTGCCAAAGCCATGAGCATCTGTGTGCACATACTTTTGTATGGGCAGGGTTTGCGTTTGTGTGGGGTGAGTATCAGGGAAATTGCTGAGTCACACAATACATCTGTTAATGCTGTAAGGAAATGCCATGCCTGTTTTCAAAGTGGGCTTACAGTTTCCCATTCCCAGCGGCATGCGTGAGGGTCCTGTTTCCTACCTCACCAACGCTTACTGTATTCTGTTGTTGTTTGTAGAGATGTTGTCTCATTGCTATAGTCTAGGCTGGCCTTGAATGCACGGCAGCCCTCTTGCCCCCAGCTTTCCAAGCACTGGAACTGCAGGTGTGCGCCCTGATCCCTGGTCACCATTTCCTTTTAGATACAGATGATCTTTGACTTAGAGTGGAGCCATGTGCTGATAAATCCATCGTAAACCATGTAGGGTTAAATGCATTCCCTACACCTAACCTACTGTGCATCTCAGCTCAGTAGCGGAACACATGTGGGATATCCTCTGCCATCTTTCTGATCGTGTGACTTGCTGTTGCTAGCCCACCATCCCAAGAGGGTCCCATACTGCATATTTCTAGCCTTCAGGGGAAATATTAAAATTTAAAATGATTTCTTGTGAGCGTGCATTACTTTTGCATCAGTGTTGAAGAGTTGTAAATTAAATTACCATAAACCAGGAATCGCCTTTACATGCCTTTACCAAAAAAGTCAAACTTTTCCACAAGGAACTTTTAAACTGCTGAAATACTGTATTCTATACACATGGGCGTTTTGTCTGCAAGTGTGTCTGTATACCATTGCAGTGTATATACACAGTATCTGCGTAGTACATTTCATGAGGTACCTGTGGAGTCTAGAAGAGGGTGTCAGATCCCCTAGGACTGGAGTTACAGACAGGCATGAGCTGCTATGTGGTGTTGGGAATTGAACCTGAGTTCCCTGGAAGATTCTTGGCCTCCAGGCCATCTCTCCAGCACCTGCTAGAGAGTTAAAAAAGAAAAAGACACCATAGATGAGGTGTTCCCCTTCCCTTTAGGGAACACAGTCAGACAAGGACAGAGTTCTGGCCTCATCACAGGCAGGGCTCTCAGATGTGCTGTAAGCGGACACTTATTAAAAGATCCTGGCTTCTCAGCACATGGGTGAGCAGAACCATGACCAGGGAAAGAATAAGACATCCCCAAGTGATCCCCAAGTGCGTGTGGGCTTCTTGAGGGGGACATGCGCTCAGGGGTCTTTACAGCTGGCATATATATGATCCTGGGGCATTTTAAGTTACATGGCTCAGAGTATAATTTACAAGGTTTAAAGGCTAAAGAGTTGTCCTTTTGTAAGCAAAATCGTAAGCTTTCTGAAGGGTATTGTTTTGGTTTAGAATAGAAGAGTGCCAAAAACTCAAGGATGTACATCATGTTGGCCCTAAGCAGGCACTTTATTGACTGACCTTGACGTCTCTGTCTGATATCTTTGGGAGACCATGCCCTTGGTAGGCAGTTTGGGACTGATCAGTGTCTGAAGTCTCCTGACTCTGTCCACAGATCAGGAGAGCCAGGTCTAGGACTAATGGCCTCTCTCCCTTCCCATGTCCCCATGATGTCTTCAGTCTTCTTGCTTCTCTTGAAGAAATGGCTTTTACATCTCCTAACTGTCTTCTTCCCTACCCACTTGCTTCTACATTCTAAGAATATATGTATACTATTGATCGGCCAGCTTAATTTTTAAATTAGTCAAATGAATTATGTTTCCAATACTTACAGAAGAGCAGGTTTACATCTTAACTGTTTGCAGGTATGAGTTTCAGTGGTCCTATAGACAGTCACACCGTTCCCCAGCTGTGGCCACTATTTTCCCACATTTCCAAATGGAAGCCATGTTCTTATTAAACACTGACTCCTCAGTACCCCGCTGCTCCCAGAACCTGGAACTCTTCTCTCTCTTTTGAGACAAAGTCTCACAATGTCTCTCTGACTGGCCTGGAACTAACTCACAGTGTGGCTCTGATTGGCCTTGAATTCAAAGCTGCCTTCATGGCCATTTTTGTGCACAGGATCTTGCTTTAAATGCTTCACACCAAACCTGCGTGTCCCAGCTGGAGCCTGTCACTCTTTTCAGGGTCTCTTTTGTATTGAGTGGCACCCCCATTTGTGATTTCATACCATCCCATTTTCTTTGTGGTTCCCATTGTCCCTCTACTTGCCACGCTTTTAGTGGGCAGGCCACTTATCTTGCATCCTGAATTTCTTCTTGATGTCTTTCTAGCTGCCTACACCAATGCTACAGGAGACACTTCAGGAAACAGAAATTGGAGTTTTCTTTTGAGAAAGCCTTGGTTTTATAGATGTTCACATTATCTACGGAGTTACCTCATGTACGAAGTATCTCTGCCCAAGGCTCAGTTTCAGTAGCTTAGCATCATAGGTACTTTGTTGCCTGGATAGACCCTCTGCACTTCTCCTGATGCTGAGCATAGACCAGAGGCTTAGTGTTAGAAGCCTGAGGAGCTGTAGGGTTGGCTGGCTGCCTGTGGGATTGCTAAGCATCTCCTCTTGGAAACTAGGAAACAAGGAGGACCCTAAGAGAGACATACATGGTCCCCTGGAGAAGGGGAAAGGGACAAGATCTTCTGAGCAAATTGGGAGCATGGGGGGAGGGGAGAGAGAGTTAGGAGAAAGAGAAGGGGAGAAGAGGAGGAGGGGGAGAAGATGACATGAGTGAGCAGGAAGACTGAGTCAGAGGAAGAATAGAGAAGAGCAAGAAAAGAGATACCATAATAGAGGGAGCCATTATAGGTTTAAAGAGAAGTCTGGAACTAGAGATCTACAAGGATGACCCCAGCTAAGAATCTAAGCAATAGTGGAGAGGCTACATTAAATGCCCTTCTCTGATAATGAGATTGATTACTACCTTATATGCCATCCCAGAGTCTTCATCCAATAGCT